TAGCTGCTGAAACAACAACATAGTTTTAATCAACTAACTTTATTGTTTCAAATGGAATTTTATTAAAAAAATTAATTGTAAACATCAAATTCGAACTTGTTTTGGACATATTTTGTGAACTTGAACTATAGACAAAAAGTTGTACCTCAGTGCGACTGTTAGGGCACTGGCACATTATTGATAAGCAAATAAGACGATTCGGCTTATTACACACTGCCCCAGACTACCCCAGACGTTCATGTTACACACTGCCCCAGGGACCCCAGGGTACACAGCCTGTTATGTGGCCTCGTAGACCGAGAACCCTCAAGGTTGTGTTAGTGACAACGACCATTTCGCAAGTGCTACGGTGTCTACTTCGATAGAAAATCATTAGTTCGGGGCTTGTTTGGTGCCAAATCGTAACAAACTGTGCCCGGAAAAGTTCTGCACCTTACCAACTGTGGCTGTATGATATCTGTGAAGACAAAAGTGGACGCATGACCAGGGCTAGCATTTCTTAGCGTAGACACACATATATTGCCACTTGCAATTTCCGTAATGAGTAATTTCTTTCACCATCCCATCTATGTTATAAAGGCTGAAACCGGATTTTGCGCTGCTGTATCTCAGAATTTATTTTCAGGGCCAAACTCGAAACGTTTGCAACAAAAATACAAAAAAATGCACCTTGATTTTTAAAAAAATTTCTTTTTACTTTGGCGAGGCAAAATGACATCCTGTGCTGTAAAGTACTCTTAAAGCACCGACCCCGGAAATCGCAAAGTTCGAACCCTAAAATGAAATGGCTTTGCCTGTGTTGTGGCATCTTTAATTGAATTACAAACTAATTCCTAAAAATTACTTTGTTCAAGTTATTTCCTACGCACCTTCACCGTCCTTTCCAATGAGGATTTCTCGTTCTTCGTCTGTTATTTTGGGCAGCCTGGATACTGTCATGCCCATCTCGTTCTTGGAGCGCTTCTCTATTAAGTACTTTGCCGTGTCTGGGTAGTCGCCGTACACCAGTGGATGCACAGGCGTGGCGCCAAACACGTCGTTGAAGGTATTCGCAGCAACGAGGTCCTCATAGCTTTCTGTGGCGGGGGTCCCGGGCCACACAAGTACTGACGTTCCAACCAGACCTGGTGTGAGCGCAAGTTAAAAGAATGTGTCAGAGATAACATGGCTTCCCCATATACTCGCATTGTCTCGAAGTGTACGCTCAAAGGAAAAGTTGGGTACCGCTCGAGTATTTAACGCATCATCAATCGTTCATAGGACACTCCTCTAGCTGGCACTAGAAAAACACCGAAGGGCACCGTACCCTTCTCATACAGTTTCCCTTTTAGCACAGCACACATTTTCACAAGGGTTGCAAGGGTATAAATAAATGATTACCTTTCTGCTCCTTATAATACTTTTCCTTGTAGAGCCGATAAGTTCTAGCTTGAGCAAGTATAGTATGATGTATGCAATTGTAGTATGAGCTATTGTCAGTTTTAGTGACGCTATATGTGTCTAAACGCGTTATTAGGAATATGCAGAGCATGTTGCCTTCGTTAACTGGGTTCCAGTACTTCACCTGCGAAACAGAGACGGAAACAAGTAGTTATTAGAGCTGACAACAAATGTGAGCCGTTCTTCTCATACTAAGTAATTAAAAATAATTCTTGTTGCTAAGTTAGGTAGGAATAAAGGATGCTTGCACTTGTCAATCTAGCCGTTACCTTCTTTCCGTATGTTGTGAAGAGAAAATCAGCGTACTTCACGAACTCATCAACCATTCCCTGTTTGCTCCAGCCGCCAACCCTCTTCTCCAGACTATAAGGATGGTCAAAATGGTACATAGTGACCTGAGCAAGAAATAGAATCATACTTTTCATATGCGAAAACATGTGGCACAGTTCAGCGCAGACATTTCTAGTAACTTAGTCTTCTGTTTTTTCCTCCAGCATTATACCTTCCTTTCAAAGTAAAAAATTCGTACTACGGTGGAAACAGAGGCAAGAAACTACCAGGGGTCGGGCGGGGGGCTAATTTACGTTCCCTTGGCGGTTCAGCGCGCGATGACAAATTCAGCAGTACGCGAGGCCCCGGGTCTCGCCGCGGTACCCCACTTGTACGGGAGTCCAGCGGGGAGTCGGAAGGTTCATGCATTTAGCCATTTTACGGGAGCAGAAAAGTTGTCGCGTTATTTTAAAGTTCAGCCCTACATAGATAGCCATTTAATTTTATCACGAAGTGGAAATTTACTTGCGAAGCGAGCGATTTCGCCCGCGGCAGACATGGTAGTCAAGCCCCCCTTAGCGCCTTCGGTTCCAACACCAGCAACCTTGCTGTTCTATACCTCAAACCTTCGTGATTCACTCCAGAATTAGCGAAATTTGCTGTTTGGAACACTGTACGCTTCTTTCCGAAACAGTAGGTGCTACGAAAAACCGTTGTCAACCAAGTAAATCGAGTACCTTTCATGCGAAAATAACCTCTCGTCCACCGAGTGCAGTCTTTGTCAAATCTATTTTGTGTTTGTTTTGAAAGAAGTCTTTAGAGTGCAGTTTTGCTCGCTCCTAGACAAAATTAGTTTTCACTTATGATTTATCTCTCCTCACGCTGTGATAAAATAGTTGTAATGTTCAAAGAGGGGCACAGTTGTTTCGAGATCAGCACAAGGATATATAATTGTTGCGTAGACATTCAATAAAAGGAAAATTACCTCATACATAGTCCCTCGTCTATCTTCGAATTGTGTAAGTATGCAGCTGCAAATGTGCCATAAATACGAGCCATATTAGATTTACTTTGCCTTGTCTGTACTTGTGAATGTCAGCAGCTACAAATGGACGCAGACCACAAGTTTTGTCTCACTATGGGAACGAGTCTTTCATTACATGGAAAATTTTGTCATGTTAAAACTGCATGACGTGGCTCTCTATCCCATCTTAAGGACCATGTGTACAATGGATTTTGACTCCGGTGTCAGACCATCCCCAACTTCCGATTCACTACTGCTTGGTATGCTGACTTATCCAATCGTAGATTCAAACTTGCTATCAGCCGTTGAATAGTTGTTCGATCTGCTCTCATACTCAATTTTTTCTGTTCCAGACTTATTGAATAGTTTTCATCAGGAAAGTGCAGGTATCCCCTTTTCTTGAAGATGCAAAACTGCAACATGTTAGTGTGTATTTATTTTAATAAAAATGAAAAGGACTCTTATTTAAGTTTTTCACCTTAACTGTGCTCATGATACGTCTAGTTAGGAGAGTATTTTTAAAGATAAAATAATACCCTTGTAAGGAACACAGTAAAGTATTCAGTAATAACTTGCAACCAATTTTATTAAACAGATTAACACAATGAACATTTACAACAAAATGACAGCTTTGGATTTTATTTTACAACATGATTTTTTTAAATACATATTGCTTATAAATTACAACATCGTAAGAAGTTAACTTTCAATTGGAATTGGTGGTGTCAACTCGGAATTGTAAACTTCTCAGCACTCATGCAGTATTCAAATTCGCCGGGGATAGGGGTGGGGGAGAAACACAATAAGCATACCAACAAAAACGAACGGACAAATTAGCTCAATCCTACTAACTCCGATCTAGACGAGTATCTTATCAGGTTTAAAACAATAGGGGAAGAAATTCGAAATCCGGAATCATGATTTATATTTAAAAGGCAGCAGGAAAGATTGGACTTGACTTGAAGTAAGGTTAAGTGTCTACGTTTTCTATTGGCTATTCTGCTGTTTCCCCAATGACGTGAATGTTTCAAACTGGTACTTGCCTCTTTATACTTACTTGAATGTTTTATCTGACGTTGGAAGCGAGAACATTTCTTTCCGAACCTGCAAATGAAATGAAAGTAAGGTTCATAACACAAAAATAAAGGCATCCAGCAACGATGTCGGCGTACCGACGCCGACGAGTTCCATGGACTAACACATACACACAAACACTTAGAACAAAACAGTATAGCAGACACCTCTAATTTCCCTCCAAATTGGGGTCGTTCACCTCTAGTGGTAGTGCCGTTTGTTTACTTCTAGAAGGTAAACTTAGCCTAGGCTATGTTTACATTCACATTTTAAAATTATTAAGACAAGATTTCAAAATGGATTTAATGTCTCCGGATGACTTCTTATCGTTATTTGAATCAGCTTGTGAAGTTGAATCAAAGGATTCAGAAAAGATAATATATCGGTGTGATTTTTCAACTGGAGAGCAAGTTAAGAAGTGGCTACGCTCATACAAAGATGCAACTTATACTGACTACATTGTTAAAGACCCTATGTCTGAAGCACCTGTAAGGTAAGTTCTTCCAGATAAATGAACAGGTTTCTTAGAACATAAGGGTATGAGGGATATTGAAACTACAAATTCAGAATAGACTGGTCAGAATTCTATGGGCAAGAGAGTGCACGAGCAACACGAATACGAGATTCATATAGTTTCCGAAAGTTATGATATGGATCATCCTGTATTCTGTAGTTGAATCTCCACATCACAGAATTACTACAAATTCAGGGCAAAATAATCTCTCAAGCAAAGTTACACCTTTCAACTCTCAGAAAGTCTGGTACAAAGGTTTGGCTTTCAGATGGGAAATGAAAGCGTTGTTCCAATCTTGTTCCAAATTGTTTAAATATATAATGGCCTGTTTGATCATAGGGTACCCTGTTTATTTCT